ATATATATATATATATATATATATATATATATATATATATATATATATATATATATATATATATACACATATATATAAATTGGAGGATTAAATGGATAAAAATGTAAATTATATATACACGCACAATGATGTCACCAGCTTTAAAGCTAATTTTGCGCGGGAGGAAACGAGCTTCCACAGAACTCAGAAATGGGCGGTCACGACTTGGAATTGGAGAGAGCTCGGTTGCTAAGTTTGGCTGCTGAACTCGGTTTCGATGAAGAATCGGCGGAAGCCTGCTTGGACCGAATGATCAATCTATACGGTACTTTCTTCGATCTCCAGCCATATCCGAACCCTAAATTTGCACTTCAGTTTCATCTGTATAACTCTTTCGTGTCTGGAATGAGGACAATGGAACATCGTTTAATCCATATTTTGTTGATTCTCAGATGCGCACTGTAGGAACATGGATTTGGAAATGTCATTAACATAGTTTCGTAGTTATGGGCCGAGGAGAGGAACTTAAATTGTTCGCTTTCGTTCAGTTTTTTTTTTTTTTTTTTTCCTGAATTCATTTGTGGAACGTTAGGGGGTAGGATGCACATGTCATAGGATCTGGTGTATAGTTTTTGTGAGAATATGGTTGTGTATCGACTTAGCATTCAGTGTAAATTACTAACCGTTGTTCTGTTGATGAATCGTATAAACCATTTTAAAACGATTGAAGTGGTTTTAAATTTTGCTTGCATGAGATATGTTGGAAGTATTCTGGCTACTAACGGGTGGGATAATGTTATTAGAGCGAGATTGATCAGCTAAGAGTAAAATCAGCTCTTCTAATTGAGAAGTAAAAAGTTGGCACTGTCAATTATCTGTTTATGGATGCGCTTCTTTTTTCAGGTGATGATGGGCGGGAATTTGTCTCTGTTGAGCATTGTGGAGATGATTTTTTGGCGGCTCTTGCGGAGTCCGCTCAAGACAATGAGGAGTGGGATGATTTACAGGCAATGGAGTCAGAAGCTTGTGGTGCTTTAGATATTATTCTCGATGTAAATATCCAAAAAAAAGATGGAGTTCGTAATGATCACAACAGGGAAAGCTCAATCTATATCATAGAAGATTCATCTGAAGCGGAGGAAAACCCAAATTTGGTTAACATCGATTCTTCCAGTGAAAGTGATGATGTAGAATTCAATGCTTCAAAGAAGAGAAATTTTGATTCTACCATTTCTTATTGTTCCGATCGGGCTACTTCCATACTCACGTCAAGTAAATACTCTTCAATATCAGGGGTAGGCTTCTTGGTTGGCCACAGATGACTGTTTTATTTATTCATTATATTGTCATGAAAATTTATAGCATTTGAAATCTGGAAGCAGCTTTTAACAATCTCAATTTTTACTCCAAGTGCTTTAACACAGTACACTGAGGCAAAACTTTTAGCTTATGTTAAGTACTTATTGAATAAGTTATGTTGAAGGATTGCAAAAGCAGCACTACTCGGGGTTCAGTTTCTTCAAATCCAGGAAAAAGACTGCCCTCTAGAGCTTCAGGGGTTGAGCACAAAACTCTTACTTATGAAGAGTTACAGACTTTGGATGATTTTGAATTGGCGAATGTTGTTATTTTTGGAAACAAAACATTCCGACCTCTGCAACACGAAGCTTGTAAAGCAGCTGCATCAAAGCAAGATTGTTTTATACTTATGCCAACTGGAGGAGGCAAAAGCTTATGTTACCAGGTCATCTTTTCTTACTTTCCTACACAATTTTAAATATAGGCAGTGGTCTTTATAAGCAGAGATACAACAAGATTGTTCTATAATCCATGTTACGAAGTTCGGCTGCAGTGATCCTTAAAATCCTCTGACTGCTACTTGTTCCCTGAATTATCCGAGGCATCCATGCCTGTGGTATGGAATGTTATGGCATCAGTGTCATCCATCATGCGTGCATTATCCACATGCATTTTCATTTTGTAAATATATTCTTATAGATATTTTGTTTGGTTATGAGTTTTGAAAACTGACGAGAAGCCTTGAATAATTTTGTGTTGATCGTATGCATGGCTTTTTAAACTTGTTTTTTTTTACATCAACACTTCACTCTTTACAGCTGCCTGCAACAATTCAACCAGGTGTTACCGTTGTCGTATCTCCCCTCCTTTCCCTAATTCAAGATCAGATAGTTACATTAAACCTCAAGTTTGGAATTCCGTCAACGTTCTTAAATTCTCAACAAACTTCTTCTCAAGCAGCTGTTGTCCTGCAAGAATTGAGGCAAGGTTTATTTCCTTCTCTGGATGTGATATTTGGTGACGTTTTAAGTTTAGCGAGTCTGTGGCCATATTTCTAAAACTTATATGATGTATAGTATAAAGAAAGTCAATTCTTATCTCAGGAAGAATAATATGCATACTACTCTATTAGGATACGTATTTTAATGTTTTTAGAGTTTGAGATAAATCTCTTTGACAAAGCACGATGTATGTGCTTTAGGCAGCTATACGTGGATAATTTCAGAACTTTTTGATTCTCCTTGAGCATACTTTCAGATTGCGTTTTCTTTTCTCATTTGTAGGAATGATAAACCTTCATGCAAGCTCTTGTATGTGACTCCTGAGAGAATAGCAACACAGTCATTTTTGGAGATTCTTAGATTCATGCATTTGAAGGTGACCTGTTAGGACATATTAAATTAATATGAAGTTTTTATTTCCAATTCAGAATTTCAAAAATTTTCTATTACAAATAATGTTAAGTTAAAATTGTAATGACAGAAACAACTTGCGGGTTTTGTTGTTGATGAAGCACACTGTGTAAGGTATGACATGATCTTTGTTTACTTTGTTAATTTTTCGATAAGTTGGATAGCTTATAGGTATTGGGATATAGATGTTACCCTAATTCAAAAGACAGGCATTCCATCCAATTTTTATTATTTTTTATTTTTGTATTTTTTTTATATGAGAAACAGGACATAATGTCAACATATATTCAATCAAAAGAGAACACAACCTAAAGGTCATAGCGATGAGGGGGTCCCTAAGCCTAAACCAAAGGTTTGACAAAGAAAGCCCTCCAATCTAAATTAATGAGATAACGTTGTTTATTACAAAAAGTATCATGTAGAACACTCCACATAGAGGCTGTAAACTGTACATTTTCACAATTCCTTTCTTTCCAAATTGACCACAAGAGGCTTCTACTCCTGTTGCACCTCAGTCCTAGCTTTCTCCTTGAGCCACCGACCAGCAGCACTACAAAAAGGCTAGCACTAACATCTTTAGGAGCCCCAGGCCACATCAAAGATATTGAAGATGGACATCCAACCCTTATAGGTGAAATGGCCATGGAAGAAGAGGTGGTTACCGTTTCCATAACTTCAATTGCAAAGGAGACAAAAGTTAGGAGAGAGGGCTAAGTTTGGGTGTCTTCTTTGGATTCTATCCACAGTGTTGAGACTGCGGTGAGCTAGGAACCATAAGAAGAATTTGACTTTCTTGGGGATGTTTCCTTCCCAAAGCTGCACTCCCTTCATTTTTGAAGAAGCACCAGTGCCAGTATAAAAAGAAAAAAAAATTGGTTAAACGACTGAACCAACAAACATATGAGCATCAATCAATTCGTTATTTGTTATTCCATTTTTAAGACCATCAGCAATCTGTTTACATCAGGAAGCATGGCAATCTGTATAATAGGTTTTTGGTAATTGTACCCGTTTTGTGAAGTATTATAACAATTGTTGTAGGTTGTGTGAAAGTCTAGGAGATAATTGGCAGATATATGGGAGAAAACTTCTTAAATAGGTTTTAGTAAAAAGCTAAATATGGTGGGATTGGTAAATCAGATTAGTCTTACCTTGAAAATCAGGCCATTACTCTGTTTTTCCAATGTTGCAGCCAGTGGGGGCATGACTTTCGCCCAGATTATCGAAGTCTTGGATGTCTTAAGCAAAATTTCCCTGATGTCCCAGTGATGGCACTGACTGCAACAGCAACACACTCAGTTCGTGAGGTAACAAGGGGTGCCATTGGCCAGAAATTTTTCTGTTTTCCATGAAATGGTATTTTTCTCATTTCAATCTATATGCTGCAGGATGTATTAAAAGCTTTAAGAATCCCTCACGCACTCATCCTTGAAAGAAGCTTTGACAGGCCTAACCTGAAGTATGAAGTAGTGTGCAAGACAAAAGAGCCTCTGATGCAGCTTGGACAGCTCATAAAGGATCGTTTCAAGAATCAGTGTGGAATCGTTTATTGTCTTTCAAAAAGTGAATGTGTAGAGGTATCAGAATTTCTAAATAAAAAATTTAATACCAAGGCAGCGTATTATCATGCTGGTTTAGCTGCTCGCCAAAGAGTTTTGGTTCAAAAGAAATGGCATGTGGGGGATATCCAGATTGTTTGCGCTACAATTGCCTTTGGCATGGGTATAGACAAGCCAGATGTTGTAAGTTCATTTATTATAAGAATATGCGTGCTATTTTTTGAGACTTTGGTCATTCCTGAACTACAATATTTGTGGCATGACTTAACTAGTTTATGATTATGAACACTGGTGCAAGAAAATTTAAGACCGCATTATTCACCATCATAATGTCAGTTTTAGAGTTTGGTTTTGACATTTCATGAATGAATGGATCGCTATGTATGCCCCATGAAAATAGGTACTGTCAATGCACCTCTCTCTCTAGCACTCCTGCAAAGTAGTGGAATAAGTACCACATCTTCCTTATTCTCCTGAAAGTTGAGGAATTTGTTTTCAATTATGTTTTAGTGCTAACTCTTCTGAAAATGTCGACTTGATAGCGGTGCAAATGGTAGCTTTGAAAACTTGGCTGATTTCTTTCACGATGCTTGATGCCTATAAGGCATATAGTTAGCTGCATTGGGCTTTTGAAAAGTTCGAACAAACTGAAACATACGGAGCACTTAATCTGCTTATGCTTATGGTCCAAATCAATCTGTCTCCTTCATATGCACCATCGTTTAAATTAATTATTGCTTTATGAATTTGTTGCTGGCCTCAACTACAGTAAATCTTTTTTTCTTTTCCATTTCTTGTAGTACTTATCTTAGATCCAACTGTCTCATATGTATGCTTAAGCATCTTCTATTACTCGCTAGTGTTCACAAGTCACTTTTGATATTCACTTCATCGTTATTACATCATTCTACTTGTCCAGCGGTTTGTTATCCACAATACAATGTCAAAATCAATAGAAAGCTATTATCAAGAATCAGGAAGAGCTGGAAGGGATGGTTGTCCTGCTTCATGTATTGTCTTGTACCAAAAAAAGGATTTCAGCCGAGTTGTATGCATGTTACGTAATGGTCAAGGATTCAAAAGTGAAAGTTTTAAGTTGTCAATGTCTCAAGGAAAGAAAATGCAGCAATTCTGTGAACTTAAGGTTAGTAACTCCATTTCATCATGAGCGGTTGCCTTTCCCTTATTATCATTGACTCTTCATCACCATGAAAATTCCTGCCCCATTACTTTTAGTATTTTATAGCTTTGATTTGTTGATGCAAACTCATGTTCCTGAATTTGTGGTCAAATTTTACAGGATGAATGTCGGAGACAAATGTTGCTTCAGCATTTTGGTGAGTCATTTGATCGAAAAGCATGCAAAAATGGCTCTAATCCATGTGATAACTGTCTTAAAAAGTCTTCCTGAGCACATACATTAGCTGTTAAAGGTGACTTCAAACTGAACATCATCTCACCTCAACTCTTGGGACAGCATTTCAGACCTATGTTATTGTATTATGGTGTTTTCAATGCAGGCTAGAAATTCTTCCTTCTTGGCTACAAAACTTGCTTGTCCTCAATCCAGGTATTTCTGCTAAATGCATTATTTTGATCACATTTTCTCTATCACTGAGGCATGATGATTTATACTTTGAAATCCTTCATTATTTTGGGTAGTTAGGGCTTAGTACTTGTTTCTTGAGGTCCCTGCGCTATCCCATCCTCATATGGTAGCTACAAGACTTTCATTGCAAATGTTGTCTAGTTGTGAGTGAAACTTAATAGGCGTTATTTTTCGCTCCACACTCCTTTTTAAGTGAAACGAGCAGGAACCATTCCCAATAATATATTGTTGCAAGTCTAAATTAGACTACTGTTTTTCCTAATTGTCCTATAAAAATGTCTAATTGTCCTATAAAAAAAGACTGATTAAATCTAAATTCATAGGCAATTCCTTAGTATCTAAGTGATTTAAATAAATTCCTATTAACAAGATAAGATAACTCTAAATAAGTTGTCTGTCACTTGTTAAATAAATCTATTTATTAACTAAATCTAAATAAATCCAATTGAATGAGATTACATAAATATCCTTCCACACACCTGAGTAATAGATATAATTCTTGAATACTAACCCATAAGTTACATAAATCTCTTAACTTAAAAGGCTAATCTTTGACACTCTCCCTCAAACTGGAATATGTCTATTACTCAGTTTGGACTCAATAGTTTTATGTGCAGTATTGATTGCATGATTTTGATGACACGACTTCACAACGTCAAGGCATGACTTCAATGGTAGCAATGAAGGTTTCGAATAACTTTGTCAATAGTAGCTATGAAGGCTCCAAATAAATTTGTCAACGGTAGCTATGAAGGCTTCAAATAAATTTGGTCAAGGTGGATGATTGGTAACTATAAAAGGTTCAGATAAATTTTGGATGATCAGTGACTATAAAGGCTCTGAATGAATTTGTCAAAGGTAGCCATGAAGGCTCTAAATAAATTTGTCAACGTTAGCTGTGAAGGCTCTGGATAAAGTTGTCTATGGTAGCTTTGAATAAATTTGTCAATGGTAGTATTGAAGACTCCGAATAAATTTGTCAACCATAGCTCCGAATAAATATGTCGTATGAAGGCTCCAAATAAATTTAGTCAAGATGATGATCGGTAGATATGAGTCTTCTGAATAATTTTGTCAATGGTAGTTATGAAGGCTCCGAATAATTATTGATAGCTATGAAAGCTCACGACATCACGTAGTTAAACTATGATCATGGAGGCTGGAATGGATAGGTTACTTGGTGGGATAATAAAGGACCAAATAAGAGAAATAATCTCTTGAAAATTGTTGACAGAATATGTTTTCTTGACTTTTCGTGCAAACAAGAAACATTTTGGCCTTATTGATAGTTCATTGTTGTTTGAATATCTTATTTTTTTCGAAAATTTTAATTTATGCAAAGTTAAGAATTTGAGATTTTTCATCAATTTTGAGAAATCATAGGTAAAAATAGAAATAGAGGGAGTTGAATCATGTAAGCTTTGTTTAATAGCATTTTCTATTTCTTGCCTTCTGTTTTTATTCTTGAAATGTAAGTACATGTAGTGTCGACATTAGTCCAATCTCTGACATGTCGATTAAAATATACCATATAGGTAACATAGTTTTTTTAAATGTTGAATAACATTTTGATTGCTTCATGCATTATGGTACAAGAGATACTGGCCAGTTGGTTTAATATGCGTTCAGTTTGCTTGCCCCATCTAGTTTTTTTTTTTTTTTTTTTTTTTTTTTT